CGGGGCGCTGGGACGCGTGCATGTACCCACTCGGATACCAGCTACAAGGTCAAAGTTTGGCCGTACACACTGACCTGGGGAGTTTGGCGTTCGGTGATGGCGGCGACAACTTTCGTGCGAGTCAACGGTCGGCCACTGCAGTTGGCCTCACATCTCTCAGCACGGGGCGTGCGGGCTCGGCCACCACTTCGCGTGGCTACACCCAGTCAGGTTCGGCACTCGGTTCAAGGTGCATTCCAGAAATTTTAATTTCTGGGTTGCACAATTCCTAAGTACTTAGATAGGACAAAGGGTTGACAACAAAATTTTCCCCAAAAAGGGATCGAACATTGGCATCACCGCCAGGAATAATCCTAACTCGGCGGCCAACGCCGATCAACAGAATGGTTAGCTCGTTTGACTCTTTCGACAATGTCGACTGTCACAACAGCTTTTTCTCAGGCAGCTAATCGTGCCGGCAGTCCTAAACGAGTTCAACATCATATACAGCCTATAGTTCTCCACACTTCGAGATATTAGCGTAAGCTTCTCTCGTACGTGTTACCAGTCAACATTGATATAACAGTGATAAAATTAATTCACATAAAGCACATAAGCATGCATATCAAAGGTAACACTTATTTTCGAAAACATAACTCATGCGATATAACTGAACCACCTAGTCTCAGATGAATATAAATCCTAAAACATGCTGCTACAATTGTCATTTAAATCACACAAGCATACAAGGTCGTTCGATCACATATTTTTCAGCAACATTTAAATCACGATCGCAATTCAAAGCATAAAATAGTCAACTTACAGGGTTTTAAAAAATTGAGAATTTTATAAGCTACAGGCACCCAAATAACACAATTCAAGATTCAAATTTAAGCCTAAGGCATGCATCTACAATATTTATTTAGATCACAGAAGCAAATAAGGTCATTAAGATAGTATAAAAGCAATTAACATTTAAGAATCAATTTCTGCCATCATTACCAACTCATCTCATGCATATCCTAGATAGATTTAACATAAATCGAGTCACAGTAATCATATAAGCATGAACCTTATCTCATTAGAAAGCTAAAAAAAACAGACCTATAACTTTCATGTTGATCACTTCAGTCAAAAAATAACTTTAAAACTGAGTTTCAGCATAAAACACTTCGGTCAAGAAATCGGTCAACATAATTATTTGTCAGTTACAGCAGGTCACTAAAACTGAGATATCTCATGCCACAAAACTCTAAATCATGCAAACTCAAAACCTACAGAAATTACACTTGAATTGCTACATGTTCCAAGAAGAGCATTTTTACAAATAACCACGTTAAGGGTCTTATTTCAGAGTATATATTTCAATCTTAAACCCAGCCATTGTTTTGAAAAAAAAAAAAATCTGGACATAACCCCAACTTTGAAAAATCATATAAAATCAACCAGAACTCCAACTAACATGATTTCAACTCTCAGAGAAAGACTATAACATGTACTAAAAGTTTCATGTTGATCATGTTTTCACATAATCACATTAAAATTGTCAAAAACAGCCCAACATCATGATTCTCAATTCTGCCCGGAATTTCAAAAACTGCTTGCAGTTTCAACTTCAAAAATTCATAATAATTTCAATTCAACTCCGAATCATGAAATTCTAAAACTCACAGAAACCTAACTCAAAGCACTACAAAATTTATGCAGAACACTTAACCAGAAAACAACTTTTAGGCCACGATAATCTGAGCACAAACAGAGGCTATAACGAGAAGTTCTCATACGATTTTCAGCACAAAACATAATTTCATGTACATAGCATCAGGGGTCACATGTAATCACAATATAAAACTCATGTACGTGCATATATAATACAAGAGAGTCATCCCTAACATGATTTTTAACACAAATTCACACAAACTCATACGATCACCACATAACACGTTTTAAAGAATCACAATCGTGCAATAATCGTCAAGTTCAATCATATAGGCATGCTTTTCATAACATCAATTTCTAACATCTCGAGTCTTATAGAGCCTCAACATCAGGCTTAACTACAAATTCATACCTTTTACAAGTGCGTGCCTCGCAGCCAACTCCCAAGATATTCACGCGATGTCGGAGCAGTCCACTCGTCATATAGACGTCGTCGTCGTCTTTCATCCATGCATCAGTCTTCAAGACTTACGCTCGATCTAACGTACGAGAATTATCAACCATCGTCCCTCTCGAGGCTTAGCCACTCTGAAGAGTTACGACGGTGATACGCATTAGATTCTCCTAAACTATGGGGGTCGATTAGTAACACATTAGCGGCATCTAAACGACACTCCCGGTCCTCGACGACTGATGTTCTAATTCCCCGAGTGATCTCATACACTAAAGATTCACTCGGTACTTAATCTTTCTCTTTCGAGATGGGTCACGAATGGTCATACTCTAAGGACACTGAACGAATCTTATAGCGAGAAAATGCTATAAACAAAACTTATCTCAATAATAATATACCGAAACTCACAACTAGGAACCTTTAGAGTCCGAACTTAACTCTATATCACTAGAGTTCAATGTCAAACACTAGAGTTCACATAACCTAAGGTGGATAGATTTCTTAAGCCCCAAAATAAAATATATATCACTTCATGAGTAGTCTCATTACTACTCATGCAAAACCTCACAAGTAGTTTCATTGCTACTCGTGCAAAGCATCACAAGTAGTTTTATTGCTACTCTTGCAAAATCACAATTTACATTATAAGTATTTTCATTAATACTTAAACCAAACATACCTTAAGCAAGGCGGAGTGACGGAGACGAGTGGTCATATTACAAGTTCTAAACACATACTCACATATAAACCAGTCTACAGAAACGCAGACTGGCTCTGATATCAAACTGTAACACCCCACTTTGATTTTAAAGAAATTACGGACTTTCTAAAAATCAGAACAAGTTTTTCAAATTCATTTTCAAAATCAAGGGCATTAACCAACACAATTTACTTAGTCCAAGTCTTATCTGGACTCACGGGGATTCATAAACCTGATTTTTCACAAGGTTTTCATTAACCTGATTCACACCTCAACATAATATCCATTATGAACAATTGAAACTTCATAAATCAAACACCATGATTATTCAAGGTTCATAAAAGGTTTTCCAAAATATTTTCAAACATCAAAACATAGTTCGAAAACAGTTTTTACATGTCCAAAACATAGAAAGGTTCATAACGACAATATTATTAAAGCGGAAGCAAAACGAAACAAATAATAGACCACCACTCGTCCTTCGTCCCGTCACCCGACCGCTGCTTAACCTGCATCCGTGAAGAGCAGGTGGGAATGAGTACAAATGATAAAGTAGTGCTCACTACTATGCACATAATAACATGTAAAGATGGTATGATCGCAACATGAATATAAATCAATCATCATCATGTCTCATCTTCTAACAATCGTAACAATAACTCACTCATGTGCACATCTATCATTAGTCGCGGAAAGGGGATGCATAAACCCTAACGACGGGAGTACGTGCCACTGTAATGGACACGACCTTTCATTAGGTCTTAAGGAGACTTGCCTCGCAAGGGCAACCGTACCGTAACTCGACGGGGACAACCGTACCGACGGTCGTAACAGCTCACATCGGTAGGACACATGGTTCACATTCATACATTGGTCATACCAACTAAACATTAAATAACACGTATGGCATAGACAATTTTAGATTAGAACCCACCTGGATAGCTCGGTAGAAATTGCACACAAGAGCAAGTATGTAAGATGATGCTCGACTCCTCAAACACCTACGTTTAAGCGAGATAATTTATCAATAATTTACCTCACTACTCAAATTTTACATAAAACCCATACTTAATAAAAATTAAGTCTTAAGGGTTTTAATCGGATTTTTCGTAGACTTGGAACTCTCTCGTTTTCAAAAAAATATAACTCGGAGAACTAAAATTGGAGTCTCGGGACTTAAAATAATTTTGCTAAATTTTTCTCATTTGAAAATAATTTTTAAAATTAAAATCGGTACGAAAGAGGGGCTCCGGAACAAAAAAAATTGGCTTAAAAAGGCGAATTGGGCCGCCTGCCCAAACACTAGTCAAAGCTACCAAGCATTTGGGCCTTGCTCACAAACTGGGCCGCTGAATAATAAAAAAAAAAAGAAAATTGGGCTGCTAAATAGCCTTGCACTTGCTAGGAAAACGCGGGTCCAGAGAGGGCTGGGGCTCGGGCTATTGGGCTCTCAAGCGGGCTGACATGCTGAGATGGCTTCGGGCTGATCGCGGGCCGCATGCGGGCATCACAGCCCGCGCTGCTGCTATTGACAAGGTACAAAATATATAACAAGGTAATGCGGGCAACAAGGATCGAACCCGGGACCTCTCAACCCCAAAGCGCGAGTCATACCACTAGACTACAGGCGCTGCTTGATTGTTAATTTGCAAAGTCGTTTACATGAATTCTAAAAACGAACTGCGACTGAAATCTGAGAAACAGAGCTCTAGAAATTTTACAGAATTTGTTAAATCGCAGCAGATTTAACCCAAACTCGATAATGTTATTACCAACAGCAACCGAGACCAAAATATAAAACGTTCGGAGTTTGAAAATATATTATTGAAACCGAGTTTAAAAGGTTTAATAACAAAATGACAAAATAATACCAAACAAACGACCGGGATACGAACGATCCAATCAACATGACGACGACTCAAAACGACAAAAACAAGACACCGAAATCACACGAATCCATCACAACTGCAACAAGACTCGACTTATAAAGTAAACGAGAGTTCCGATCGTCCCCGAATAGTCTACGAACTTACAAAATAAATGACGAACCTACGAATCGACAAATAAACCAAATTCAAAACCCAACGTAACGATTCAACGCGAAGGAAAATAAACGAACGATATTATTTTGAACGACAATCAACGAGAGGGTTTCGAAAAGTTACCCGTCTTCGGGAAAAAAATTGGTAAACGATCGGACAATGGAACTCAAGACTCGAAGCCTTCGAACGCGAGGACTGAGGGCTGCTGGTTCTCGACGGCACAATCTCTCTGCTGCGTGGACGTCAACGTCGAACAGAAATTCTGAAACACAACTAACGGAGATAGATAAGTTGCCGGAGTTGGGGAACTCTTGACGAAACGAATGGTGTGCAAGATTGCTGGAAAGCTGACGGGGATGACGCCGGCGAATGGAGGTTGCTCGAGGTTCGCCTGCGAACAAGGTGTTCGAGCGGGGAGAATTCTGATCGCTGGGAGAAACGTGGTGGTTGTCGGAAGGGTTCACCTAAATCAATGGTGAAGGAAGTTTGCTGATGCACGGTGAGAGAGAAGTGTTGGGCTCAGATGCGCAAATGCGGAAGATGTAAATTAAAATATCAAGGTAAAATGGTGAACAATAATCCCAATCCCAGCAACTCAAGAATGACAAAAGAAACAAAATCTCTTGCAATAAAACAGAAATAATTCTTTTCTGATGTGGAAGATCAGATTAAATTGCAACCACAGAGCATACTAAGAATATCCAAAATAAATAAAATATGCAAGAAATAAGACACCAAGATTTAACGTGGAAAAACCTCCAATAGAGGAAAAAAACACGGGACAACCTCCGAACAATTCCACTATATTTTCAAGATAATTACAATATCTTTTCACACTCCCTTACACTAGAAATGTAAAATATAGTGACCCAGTGAGAACTCCACTCCTAAACAAGGAGTAATAAAGTTGATACCCAACCCGGTATATTTTTCCCACACTCACAGGATTTACTCAAACACTCTATTCTTATCTCACTGAAAAATAACACTCACTCCAGAAACTGATGTTGTTTCTGCTCTCTTTTTCTTTCTTCTTCTCGGTGCATTTGCAGCTCTGCAGAATGCGCTCTATTTATAGATGGCAAATGCTACGCATGAATGATTGCAGCTCTTTTCCTTCTATTTTCTTTTCAATAATTGGTTGCACAACAACCAAGACTATTAGTGAGCTGCCTGCCAGCATTTGATTCCTTTTTCTTCACATGGTTTTCTTTTGGGCTGGACCCCACAATTCTCCCCCTCCAGTCAAAGGGAAATATACTGCAGTTCTTCACATGCATTCCATGCCGATCAACTCGGCACAAAGCTGAAGCTTTCCTCCTGTTATAACTTTAGTCATCATGTCAGCAGGGTTTTCATCAGTGTGAATCTTTTCCAACTTGAACTGTTGTTCTTCCACTGCTTGACGTAGCCAATGATATCTGACATCAATGTGCCTCGTGCGAGAGTGGTACATCACATTCTTACTCAAATCCAATGCGCTCTGACTATCGCAATGGATATCGTACCTTTCCTGCTTCATTCACAATTGTTGAAGAAACCTCTTCAACCAAAGCATTTCTTTTCCTGATTCTGTCATTGCAATATACTCTGCTTCAGTAGTCGTCAAGAGGACAGATTTCTGCAATTTAGATTGCCAAGATACAGCATTCCTGCAAATGTAAACACAAACCCTGAAGTAGATTTTCTACTATTTAGGTCACTTGCCATATCCGCATCTGTATAACCTTCAAGAATTGGGTTTCCTTTTCCGAAGCTCAAGGACTTATTTGCACTGCCTTTTAGGTACCTCAAGATCCACTTCACAGCTTCCCAATGATCCTTCCCAAGATTGGAAAGATACCTGCTAACAATTCCAACCGCGTGAGTGATATCTGGTCTTGTACAGACCATGGCATACATCAAACTCCCGACTGCAGAGGAGTATGGAACACCCGCCATAACTTCTTTTTATTCTTGATTCGTAGGACTACTTTGTTTGCTGAGCTTGAAGTGATTGGCCAACGGTGTATTGACTGGCTTAGCCGATTTCATATTGAATCTCTCCAGAATCCGATTCACATACCGTTCTTGCGAAAACCACAACCTCTTAGATTTTCGGTCTCGCATGATCTGCATGCCAAATATTTGTTTCGCAGGGCCCAGATCCTTCATTTCAAAGGACTTTGCTAAATCCTTCTTCAGATCACCAATCAACTTCATATCATGTCCCACTATCAACATATCATCTACATATAACAAAAGAATAATGATTTTATCACCTGGAAACTTCTTAACAAACACACAATGATCAGCATCAGTCTTGTATATCCATGACTCGCCATAAATGAGTCAAATTTTTTATACCACTGTCTTGGAGCTTACTTCAGTCCATACAAGCTCTTCTTCAATCTGCAAACCATGTGCTTCTTTCCAGTCTTCTCAAATCCTTCTGGTTGCTCCATGTAGATTTCTTCATCTAGGTCTCCATGAAGAAATGCAGTCTTCACATCTAGTTGTTCAAACTCCAGATCCAAGCTAGCCACCAATCCGAGTACTACTCGAATAGAGCTCATCTTTACAACCGAAGAAAATATCTCATCAAAATCTATTCCTTGCTTTTGTCCAAATCCTTTCACGACTAAGCGAGCCTTGTACTTCAACAGCTTGTCACCATCTTCCTTAAGATTGAACACCCATTTATTTTTCAAGGCATTCCTGTCTTCCGGAAGCTTCACAAGCTCATAAGTTTCATTTTTCATCAGTGAATCCATTTCTTCTTGCATGGCTTTCATCCACTGGGATTTATCCTTATGAGTCTGTACTTCTTCAAAACTTTCTGGCTCCCCTTCTTCAGTGATGGTAATATACGTAGTACTAGGGTATCTCGTAGATGGTTGGATCACTCGATTTGATCTCCTGAGCTGAGGCGGATCTTCGAGATCATCCTGCTCGTCACCATCACCATCTTCTATTGCTGGCTCATCATCAACCCTGAGTTCTCCATCACACTCTCCCCGTGCTGTGGCATCTCCAGGAGGTTTGACAGGTGAAAGATCCACCTTACCACTTGGTTCTCTGATTTCTGGTAAAGCAGAATTAGACATAATTTCTTGCTCATGGAACACTACATCTCTGCTTCTGATAATTTTTTGATTTTCTGGATCCCATAACCTGTAGCCAAATTCCTCATCTCCATAGCCCAGAAATATACAAGGAATGGCTTTATCGTCAAGTTTTCGTCTTTGTTCCTTGCTTACGTGAGCAAAAGCTTTGCATCCAAACACCTTTAAATGAGAGTATTTAACATCATGTCCAAACCATACTCTTTCAGGGATATCAAAGCCCAAAGGAACAGACGGAGATCGGTTGATCAGGTAGCACGCCGTTAGAACAGCTTCTCCCCAGAATGGCTTAGGTAGCTTAGCCATTCTTAACATACACCTCACTTTCTCCATAATGGTTCTGTTGATTCTTTCAGCCACACCATTATGTTGTGGGGTTCCAGGTACAGTCTTCTCATGCCTGATGCCATGCTCAGCACAATAATTCTTGAATTCATGGGAAGTATACTCCCCCCCCATTATCTGAGCGAAGACACTTCAAAGGTTTACCATCCTACCTCTCCACCATAGCATGAAACCTTTTGAAGTATTGAAAAACTTCACCCTTCGTTCTCAAGAAATACACCCACAATTTTCGTGAAGCATCATCGATAAATGTCACGAAATATCTGCTACCACCGAGACTCTCCACTTCCATGGGTCCACATACATCAGAATATACCATCTCCAACACATTCTCTTTCAGCTTCAAGGTTTTGCTGAAAGACACTCTATGATGCTTCCCAAAGAGACAATAATCACAAGGATTGAGTTTTGAATCTTTGGCAAATGGGATGAGAGACTTTCTTGCCAAAATCTGCAATCCTTTTTCACCAATGTGAGCCAGTCTTTTATGCCACAAATTTGGCGAAGCATCATCCTCGGCTGCATTCAATCCACCCTTGATCAGCTTCACTTGAGTTCTGTACAGTGTCGATCTCATTGTACCTCTAGCAGCTAACAACGATCCTTTGGTAAGCCTCCACGTACCGTTAACAAAATTGTTAGTATAGCCTGCTAGATCCAATGCATGCACAGAGATCAGATTCAGACGTAAGTCTGGTATATGTCGTACGTCCTTCAGTGTTATTGTGCACCCAATATCAGTTTGAATGCACACATCACCAACTCCCACAATATTTGCAATGCTGTTGTTGCCCGTCTTTACTCTACCAAAGTCTCATTCTTTGTATAGAGAAAAGAATTCCTTGTGAGAGGTTGCAGGGTATGATGCTGCTGAGTCAACGACCCATTCATCACATGAATCAACAACATGACACTCTTCTTCTTCAACATAGAGCAACACCACTTCCCCATTGATCACAGGGGCTGCGGTATTTTCATCGTTCTCTGCCTTGTTGTTTCTCCAACCTATGTTCTTCCAGGCTTTGCAGTTTCTTTTGATATGCCCTTCCTCACCGCAGTGATAACACTTGAATTTTCTTCTGGGTTGAGATTGTGATCTATCTCTGGATTTATTATTCCGGCCTCTACTTTTACTTCTCCCCCTGGTTTCTGTGACTAGGGCTTGGGAACTGCTTGCCCCATAGTCTTTTCTCCTTGTTTCTTCATTAAACATACTGTCTTTGACTTGGGTCAAAGTCAGTTTTCCCTCAGGGGCAGAGTTGCTCAACGAGACCACCAGAGTCTCCCAGCTATCCGGCAAAGAACTCAAAAGTAACAGCGCCTGCAGATCTTCATCAAGTTTCATCTCCATGGTAACAAGTTGGTTCACCATGTCTTGAAACTCATTCAAGTGCTCTGCAACTGATTTTCCATCCCGATATTTTAAATTTACAAGCTTTCTAATGACGAAAGCTTTATTCTGTGCAGTCTTCCTCTAGTACATTTGTTCAATTTTGTTCCACAGAGTATGGGCTTTCGAATCTGTGGCAACATGGTGGAATATGCTGATATCCACCCACTGTCTGATTAAACTGACAGCCTTCCTGTGTAACTTTTTTCAATCGTCATCCTTCACGTCATCTAGCTTGTTGTCTCCCTTTTCTACAGGATCGTACAGATCTTTGTAGAAAAGTATGTCCTCCATTTTTGGCTTCCAAATGGAGTAATTTGTTGCTGTGAGCTTCACCATGGTACCCACGTTCTCCTCCATTTAATTTACACTGGTCGATACAGAGCCCAACCTGAGCTCTGATACCACTTCTTGTTGGGCTCAAATGCGCAAATGCAGAAGATGTAAATTAAAATATCAAGGTAAAATGGTGAACAATAATCCCAATCCCAGCAACTCAAGAATGACAAAAGAAACAAAATCTCTTGCAATAAAACAGAAATAATTCTTTTCTGATGTAGAAGATCAGATTAAACTGCAACCACAGAGCATACTAAGAATATCCCAAATAAATAAAATATGCAAGAAATAAGACACCAAGATTTAACGTGGAAAAACCTCCAATAGAGGAAAAAAACACGGGACAACCTCCGAACATTTCCACTATATTTTTAAGATAATTACAATATCTTTTCACACTCCCTTACACTAGAAATGTAAAATATAGTGACCCAGTGAGAACTCCACTTCTAAACAAGGAGTAATAGAGTTGATATCCAATCCGGTGTATTTTTCCCACACTCACAGGATTTACTCAAACACACTATTTTTATCTCACTGAAAAATAACACTCACTCCAGAAACTGATGTTTCTGCTCTCTTTTTCTTTCTTCTTCTCGGTGCATTTGCAGCTCTGCAGAATGCGCTCTATTTATAGATGGCAAATGCTACGCATGAATGATTGCAGCTCTTTTCCTTCCATTTTCTTTTCAATAATTGTTGGCACAACAACCAAGACTATTAGTGAGCTGCCTGCCAGCATTTGATTCCTTTTTCTTCACATGGTTTTCTTTTGGGCTGGACCCCACAAGAAGAAATTACAGAGGATGGATTTCTGATAAAATTGGAACTATTCTCGGATCAGTTTATAGAGATGAAGAAACGATTGTCACGTGAACGTGCCAAGAGAATCTCCCCCAAAATCGCTACTTGAATTTTGAAAGAAGATGGTGGCTCTGACTCGGTCGCAGCGGTGGGAGAAGAAGGAAAAATATCTGCGGACTCTTCAATTTATTTGGGCCATATTTTAATCTTGTTGGGCCAAAGGAATAAAAGAATTTTGGGCCAAGAACATTACTCAGCTGGGCCAAGCAGATTTATCTCTTAATGGGTCAAGAAATAAACACAAAAGGCCTAAAAATTGATAAACCACAAATGGGGCTAGACTTAATCTCAAATGGGCCGGAAATAAACGCAGTAACAAAAACTCCCGATCAATTTGATTGACGACAAATAATAAATTAATTCGGAAGATATATATATATTTATATAGTACACACAATAATATTTATAATAATAATAGGCATTTAAAACAATTAGACATTTAGAGACAATAATAATAATAATAATAATAATAATAATAATAATAATAATAATAATAATAATAATAATAATAATAATAACAATAATAATAATAATAATAATAATAATAATAATAATAATAATAATAATGATAATAATAATAATAATAATAATGCAAAATAAATAATCTCAATTATTCATAAACAAAAGGATATATACATATATATATATATATATATATATAATACACATTTTTATTTAATTATAATATTAGACAATTAGACAAGTAATGTCAAACAATTATGCAATAATAATAATAGTAATAATTAATCAAAATAAAATAATTATCCTCAAATAATCCATAATCAAACGGGGTATTACAGAATACTTTATTTTTATTGTAACGTGCAATGCACTTAGTTCAAATTTAGTAGAAATTCTAAGCACGCATGAGGGTACAAATCCATAAAAAGAATCCCAAATAAATTATCCACAATTTAGCTTGTAATTTTTGCCTTTATTTATACTGCAAAATAAGAAGAAAAATTATTGTTTTAGAAAATAATTGACACATCCAAATAGTTATTGTCAAAATAAGAGTTTTTTTTTTTTTTTTTTTTTTTTTTTTTTTTTTTTTTTTTTTTTTGACAATAAGAGTTCATTTTGATACATCCAAATGAAAGTCCCGTATTTGACACATTGTAGTATACTGGGCAAAACTCGAAAGTACCTGTTGCTGTCGAAATACTTATCAGGTTGTCGCGCAAGAATTTGTGTTACCAAAACCACGGGATCGAACACAAGAGCAAAGAAATGGAGAGAATAGTTATAATCACGAATTCCAGTTCCCTTATAAAATATTGCTATCATTTTAATTCATTGTTCTTCACACAAACACATCAGTCTAATGTTGTAAGGTGCCAGTGAAGCAGCATACGTTACCCCACATATACCGAAAGCTATCAACGGACTTTTCCTTCTAAAAAATTTTGTGCACCACAAAAAGACACAAGCCTGTAGCAGCAAAATCACAAAACCTTTTCCTCACTGCAAAAATAGAACGTGCTGAGGAAATGCAGAAACGTTTGGTCGTAAAAACTCCAGATCCCAGCAGATTATTTTCCTTCAAGCTTTCGAGAGAACTGCAAAAATGAGCAACGAGAAGGATGGCATGACAAATTGTCAACTAACTCGGAGAAACTAAGTCAAAATTTACTAAATTTGCAACAATTTATTTTTCACCAACAGGACATGAAATTTTATTAGCACGCATGAGTAGAGACTGGGGAAGAAAGCACAAAGAAACATCTAGTGATCGTCTCAACAACATAATCAAGATTAGGCATCTAAAGTAAAAACCAGCATGCAGTCACACACACACACACACACACACACACACACACACACACACACACACACGGAGGGGAGGGAGGCAAAAATTTAGAGGTACTTAAATCGAGCATCTATCATTGTTCATTATCTTAAATAGGTTTAAAGAGTTAAAAATTATGTTAATGCATACAAGATATCAGTCTAATGATCAATATTAAAAGTTCAAATAACAGGACAATTCCAGTAGGAACAATATCAAGGCCTTAAATGCCCCCACTAGCAGTTTAGTGAATAGACAACTTATCCTTATATTCAATCAATAATGCCTCAACTAGATGTTTCAGAATACTTAATAAGACAAGACGAAATCAATAATCTAAGGTTGACAACATACAGTGCAGACACAGAGGAGAAACACAAGCATTCATAACAATTGAAAAATAATACTCACCAACTGCAGAAGAGTCATTATCTTTTTTTTCTTGGATCCTTTTCGCCAAGAACTCCTTAATTGTCGCCCAATAACGATCACCACCAGACAACCACGTATCCATATGCATGCCAGTTGGAAAATCTATGAATAAGCACTGCCGATTGCGTGCAGCTGCTTTAGCATATAACAACTTCATGTGCCATGGAGGAACCACTTCATCCCTTAGTCCAGAGAGGAAAAGTATTGGTTGTTTGATCTGAAGTCGATATATATAATGTCAAACAAAGCTTGTCCTCATAAATGAAACATCGTCGAAAGACAGACATACCACTTTCAACCAGCTTAATATGGTGGTAACAAAACACATAACCAAAAAAGCTTACAAGTGACACTGTAAAGGAGTTAGTGACCAGAAGGCAAAATTTAGAGGCACAACCACATTTTCGCAGCAGGGCTGTTCGCAGAACAAAGGCATATTGTTTCTGGTTCAGTTTCTCCAACCACCAGCCATCAATATGATGCCACAAGAGCATTTTACAAAAAATGATTTGAACATGCACACTGACTAAACAGTAGAAAACACTAACTTCCGAGACGTGAAAGAAACACCAAATATTCAACATAGTTTTTGGGAACAATTTCAGTATTTCACATATGTTAGGCAACTTGTGGTGAGCTTAATTAAAAATTAGCAAGATAAGTCCATCAGCTTTAAGCAACAGCAAGCTAATTGGCGCCACAATTTTCTCAAGAGCAGCAACGGAATTCAACTGTAAGAAGTCCCATCAATATGTTGCCTCACCTCACCAATAACATCAATGGTGTTCCATGAGGAACGGACTAGAAAATTCAGAATTTTGGGACCCTTAGTTTTTCCAATAAATAACTTCAGAAATGGCAACATAACTCCAGCCATGTCCAAGATAGATGTGAAAGTATTTTCCAATATTAGCGCAGCAACCTGCAATGTTAGAGAAAGTAAAGCTACTGTGATTGAGTTGGCATATTTGTCTATGCACCAACGAGGGTCAAGGTAAAAAATATTACATCAGTTGAAACAACATTCAAATATCAGATTAGAAGGGGCAGATCAAGAAAATGAAATACTCAACAAATGATTAAGCACTAGCATTCTCCTGAAAAGGTCTTCTGGAGATAATTTTCAGCACAAAACAATATCGACTCTTTAGGGTCTTTCAAATAAATTTTTATAAGTTCTTTAGACCAAAGGCTAATAGTCTTCCATTTTCGGATAGCTATATGAAATCGAATCAGAGTCCTCAATTCTTATGTCATATTTCAAATATATCAATTTGTTAGGCAGTGCAACATGTTTAACTGCAATAAAGCTTGAACAGTGTCATCATTTAGCTAAGAAGAATAATGATTCTAGGCCTGCCAAATAATGGATACCACCCACAAGGAGGCAAAGAACAGAAAGAAAGCAGCATATGCAAAGAAACCTGCTCCAACATTGACGTCTTTTGAAGCTAACAAAGCCTCAGAGGCATCATCTCACCTTGTCTGGATTGTTTTTGGTTAACATAGACCCAACAGCTCCTCCAAAAGATCTTCCAAACACTACAATTTTGGACGTGTCAATATCTGTTCTCTGAACCAGATGATCCAATGCAGCCTACTCAAAAGGAAATTGACAAGAACTAGATTAGGATATGTCGTAGTTTACAGACCTTAAAATTAAAATCACAGCGACCTTCATCCTGTCAAGAAAAGACAGAAGTACCTGACTATTGACTATAATACAACGAAACGTTAGTAAAAGTAACATATTCAAGAAGAAAACCTGAGCATCCTTTGTAATGCCATGTTGTGAAGGAAATCCATCACTAGCTCCATAACTGAGCATGGTAAAGCAGAACAATACAGTCAGACAAGCATATGTCGCATCTTTTAGAAACCCACCACATATAATAAAAAATTACGAGGATGTGGGTAGGTAAAGAAAGAACATCACTATGAGGTGGGTTGAAAGCGGGTGGGACTTCAAGAAAATGTACAAACATCAGTATCTGACCAGTCAAGACTTTTGCAACATGTATTTTGATTTGTGGTTAATGAGGAAATCTTAAAGGAATATATAAAAGTAGTAAATTACTAACCCTCTATAAGAAAGCATGAAAACATTGCATTGCAGTTTCTGCATCATTACTTGAACCATTTCAAGACGATGAGCAATGTCTGCAATTACATGGTTAAGAATCTGGAACAGATATATTCTAGTACGCACATTATTAGACATTACAGTTTATATATATATAATATCATGTAAAAATTAATTGTGATCTACAAACAAAAGAATTCTGGAAGGATACTTCCTGCATTTTCCTGGAAAAAGAGAATAGTTGGACCTGCAAAAACCGTGATAATAGGTAAGTAAGATTTGGTGTAGGCAGCTAGTAACCACTCCATGCAAACCACAGACAAAAGTAGGAACAATAATAGCACAAAAGTATGAAATAGATAGCCATCAGAAGCTGATGCAATTTTGCCTCAGATGTACTTAGTATTTACTTCACACATCTCAGCATAATCTACGTCTTACGACTATTTTTGTGTTATCAGATATCTGAATCTTTTTCTGTCTTTCTCATTACAGTAGATTTTGTAAATGGAATATGGAAAGTCACACATAATAGTATGACCTTCATTAATAGCGGATCCTCATAACAAGCACTCGATATCATACCCAAATACTTCGCCACAATATGTTTTGCTTGGTAACGTGTACCATGACAAACGAGTTCATCAGCTTAGTAAGCTACTTGCATAGTTTAGGGGAGTTCTTGGTCGCAAGAAAGACCCAGCTTGAAACATCTAAAATCAATTTACCTCTCATGCCTACTCGAGGCCTTCAACAACAACTCCCATACTTTCCTCACATTAGTTCCCATTTAATCCTAACCCCATCGACTCGTAATCAGGCTATGGTTCCGAATTCTCAGTTCCAACCAGCAGACCATATCATCAACAAGAAGCAAACAAAACAAGGACCAAAACTGTAAACAAGACCACAAAAGCCTACAATCATCCCCACTAAATCAAGATTCAACTTAATTACACTTAGCTGTGCAGGCCCAACCAGCAGACCACATCGAAATCAATAAGCATAAAATAAAAAAAGGACCACAATGCCTAAAAAATTCCACAACCATCCCCAACAAATCAGTTTCAACTTAACAATACACCTAGCTGCACAACAGAACAACACAAAAATGGGTCGCAATAAAAAGTAAAAAATAAACAAACCTCTGCATTCGGGGAAGAGCTTAATGAACCACGAGTGGAGGCGGACGCAGTCGGAGGAAGTGAGCCAGACATCCTCGTAGAGGAGGCGGAGCCGGGCGGGGGTGATTGCGTAGGACCTGGCGAGACCGGGCAAGACCGGAACGTAGACGAGCTTCTCCTGAAAGACCACGAGCAACGCCATGCCGGCCACCGCGATCCCACCGGCACCGTACAGCAGCGCTCCGACGTACGAAACCATGGGCTCGATGCCCTTCGTCCCCCTCGAAACGTTTTTCAAGCTCTACTGAACTGCGTCGAAGCTCGCGAGCGTGTATCGATGTTTTTGTAGCATGTGGAGCTTTGAGGGTTTGAGAAGGTGGGAGGTTGACGATCGCCGGTTCGTTTTCCGGGCCGGAGCTACGAGAAGAACGGCGTGTGGTCGCCTCGCCTGCTTCCCAATTTGTTCAGCCGAAATTTGATAGGGAAACGTCTCTTTGGGAGACATTTGCAAATGATGTTTGGGCGTAAATGCTAAGAGGTGATTGGATAAAAAAAAAATTTCGTTTTGTTTAATTTTTTTTTTTTTGGTTTGGTTAGTTTTGAAAAAGTTGGCATGATTAGTTGTTAGTAGGGCTGTAAACAAGCTGAGCCGAGCCGAGTTCGAGCTCTTAACGAGCAGAGCTGAGTTCGGCTCGTTAAGTAAACGAGCAAAAAATCGAGCTCGAGCCTTAACAAGCCCATCTCGAGTTTTAACGAGCTGAACTATAAAAAATTACATAAATTTCACTTTTTGAGTCTTATCGAGCCGAGCCGAGCCGAGCTCGGCTCATTAACCAAACGAGCTTTAAATGAGTTCGAGCTCAGCTCGTTAAGGTTCGAACTCGAGTCGAACCGAGCCTTAATGAGCCGAGCTCGAGCCAAGCCGAGACAGGCTCGTTTAATTTAGCAACACTGATTGTTAGTGGGTATATTAAAATAATATTTAAAATTAAATGATTAAAATTGATTTGAGGTAAAGTATGAGAGAGGAGATTTGAAGTGATGGTTAGTTAAAATTATGTGAGTTGATGGAATAGTGAATTAAGGTAATGTGGTGTGTAAGAATGATTGATTTGATATTATTTAATTATATTGATAATATTGATGATTGTTGGTTGAATTAAAGTTTAGATAAAAAGTAGTTGAGTTGAAAATGTTTGGATTTTTTTGAGATAATTTTGTATCCAATCATGCTAACCAGCTCGTTCGTTACAGCAGAGTTGAGTTAAAATTCGTGTTGTTAATTAAATTTACTTACTAAGGTTTGAGAATAAAATTTCTTACATAAATTTCTGAATATTTTATCTTTCGGCTCGCTAATAATATAATAAACAAGCCAAACTTGAACTCGTTGATCAGTTCGGCTTTATAAAGGTTCAAAAGCCTAAGCTTTAGACCTAAACTCAACTCGACACATTTATACCTTCACGCGTTTAGAGCTATATTGCACTTTCGAGCTTTATGACCTTCATATTGCTCGTGCTCGTCTGTTCTCGTGAAGTAATTAAGGATGTTACACTGAAGTGTGCTCATGTAATTGTTTGCTTGTGGTATCAACTTAGCGGTATACATTTTTAAATTCAATCATGTGAAATCCATTCTTTAGCTAGCTAGTTGTGATCTTTGAAAGCTATCCTCTCTCATGTCCGTGATGTCTAATTACTAATTACTAGTTGTTACCCGTGCATTTGCACGGAAAATTATATGATATATAAAACAATATTAAAAAAATAAAAACAATAGTAAAAATCATAACATAATCATTGGAGTAAAAGAGTTTTAAGAAAGAATATCTAAATATTATTAAATATTTTATTATATACAATGTCCGTAGTTTTATTATCATCGTAATATTCATCACCACAAATCATCATCTTCAAACTCTCCAACTTGTAACTCTGGAAACCGCCATATACAATTGTCCATGATTGAATATATGTCTATTCAATAGTAGGATGATAATGTAATGAATGAACCTACAATATCAAAATTTATATAGTGAATTATGCACTAAATTTTTAAGTTTTTAAATTTCACATACAACAATTATATGTACAATACTTACACATGTAATGGTTTTTCGTATGTAAAATATTAAATTTTGTACTGCAAATATTTTAGGTCAATTGTATTACTAAATAAAATTATTGTACTTTATATTGTATTTTGGGCAAGTTATTTAAAATTTGAACCCCAAAAGTTTAAAAGTATGTATATTGGACCATTAAAAATTGAGAAAATTGCACCCTATACCAGCAATATCATAAATTATTACATAAATGAAACTCATATGTAAGTATTAGCAAATATACAAAATCTGACATAATTAATTGCAAAATTACCAGATTTATAAAAAATGATTAATTTAAAGATACAATTAATATTCAATCGCAATTAAAGGTTTCTCTTTCTTCCCCTCACTCCTCTTCCCCTCCTTCTCTCTCGCTCTCTTTGTTCTTTTTATATTGGTCGGTTAAAGACGGCGAAGCAAGCCAGACGAAGATTTTTTGGGGCTGGCAAATGTGATTTTCAGGGGTCGGCGGAGCAAGCCCGACAGTGAGGTAATTGGTGAAGGTGATGTTGGAGGGGCCGACAATCCCGGCTCTTACGTCGTCATCGATGAAGAAGGGCCGTCATTTTGTGGATAGATTTTAGTTGGACAGAGGACTAGACCAGACGGTATATATGTTGTATATATGTAGTATATTTATACTTTTGTCGTTGTTTGCGAAGTTGCAGGTATATGTTGGGTATATGTTCCGTATATATGTTTTGTAATCGTGTATATTATGTATATGGTTTCTCGATTGTGGCCGGTGAAGCAAGCCAGACGAAGATTTTCTGGGGCCGGCGAATGTGATTTTTAGGGGTCGGCGGAGCAAGCCCGACGGTGAGGTAATTGGTGAAGGTGATGTTGGAGGGGCCGACGATCCTGGCTCCTACATCGCCAACGATTGTATCATCGATGAAGATCAGGTGGATTTTGTGGTTAGGTTTTAATTGAGCGGAGGACTAGACCAAACGGTATATATGTTGCATATATGTAGTATATTTATACTTTTTGTTGTTTGCGTAGTTGCAGGTATATGTTGGGTATATATTTGTATATATGTTTTGTAATCATGTATATTTTGTGTATTTTTTTATGCGTGTTTCTATATATGTTCTGTATATATGTTTTTTGTGATCGTGTATATTATGTATATTTTTTCGATGGACGTTTATATCAGCAAGATGATTGATTTTTGAGATCGCGTATGTTTTGTATATTTCAGATTGTATATTTTTTTGAAGATTTCAGATCTTATATGATCTGTAGATTTTTTTTCCAATGAAAACGATATTTTTTTAATCCCACAAATTATGGAGACTTCACCTATTTGTTGGGGATAAATCCCAAAAATTAAGGAGACTTCATCTATTTGTTGGGGGTAACCGTTAGTTTCCATTATAACAAATAAAATCCATTACTGGGATAAATTTGCAAAAAATATGGAGCCCTTCGTATTGATGCAAATATTGTAAAATCACTATGTATACATAAAATTTTCCCTTAAAAATTGGCCTCTTTTTTATATTGGGCTGCATTTAAACCAAAATTGGTCCCGGATTAAAATAATATCCAACCAAATTAAGAGCCCAGTGTCAAGGCAAGGAGATGTGGCATAATTTATCAGCCCAATTTTGCCATTTTCAGCCCAGTGTTTTGCTACCACATGACTGTCTCATTGCCACGATATCTTTATATGTTTGATAATATCTTTTAAAAACATTGCGATAATTTAAAGATCTATTAAGATCTGAAGACATTTGATATGTACTGTTTTTTAAAAAATGAATATCTCTGTCTATTTAAAATAATCTTTCTTTATTTTTTTTTAAAAAATTAAGCTAATATTAATAGATAGAGTGCTATAACCATTTTTAAGGTGATTCAATATACGTTATACAAATGTTGATCTTATTTTTCAGAATTTTGGTTCGCATATTACATGTACTTTAATGAAAATGCGAACACACTATGTTAGGGCCTACAAACATTAGAAATTTTAAATAGGTACTTATGTTTTCAAATTTATTTGACTTACATGCAGTTTTCCATCGGGTATGTTAAAAAACATTCGAATAGTTGTTACAACAACGATAAATGTCAGATTGTCAATGAAAATTTTGTATTCATGCATATAATTTATCTTGTTATGATAACTATATTTCTGATTTGTTTGATTTCTTGAAAATTGATGTGCTCCATTGTGATATCTATTTTATGATAACTGATGTGTTTTAGATTGATAATTTTGTAGAGAAAATTGAGTTACATAAAAGTTGTCCAAAAAATTTATATTTTGAGTCTGTTGACTATATTGCTCGTGTGTTTGATTTTGACAACAATTTGTTATATAAAAGTATGAAGTGATTCATTTATGAACGTTGTTCTGTAGCTCTGAATTGTGGATTTTTTATTGTTGGTTTGTTATTTGAAGAATACAACTTATAAAAATCTGCCATTTTACAGTTTAGTAGTATTTATCTTAAAAAATTATGAATAATACTTTACTCACATGATTTATTTTTTTTAAATTGTTGTCAAATCAATTTTTTGTTGCTGTACAGGGTTGAGAATTTCGACAATGTTGTGAAAACCCAACTTTGATAAAGATATGACTCCAACAATTGCAAGTTTATAATTATAAATTGTGTTGCAATTATAAAGTTTATCTAACATAGAACATGAATCACGAATCATCTATAGGTAGATCATAAAAGAGAAAAATATTTCTACTTATTGTAAAAGATAACCTTTTAAATTTTTATTACATATGCAAATTATTTCTTGGTTGTTTTATTCCATTAATCTAACCGTTTTTTTAATGCAGATAAAATTGGTTAAAGTATGACACAACATGATGAAAGAAATGAGGTAAAATTCATAATACCATGAAGCTGCACTACTTGGCTTAGGCAAAAAATGTATTACAACACACACAAGTTGGAGATGGATAATGCTGCAACTAAGGTATTACAATATACTGCTTTATCTTGAATACACAAGACATGTACCATCTTATGTGCCTTCAAATTTGTTGCGCTTGCTTATTAATGTGTCATATGCTGTTGAGAATCTCTTCATGTTGTTGGATATGTTGGGTAGAATTAGCTTATCCCAAAAAATTTGAGAAAATAGTTTTTCATCTATCTTTTGAAGTCAAAGTTGTTACA